GCCTTCCGGCCTTCAGTCTATCCGGACCGCTCAAAACTGTCGTACGTCACCATGAACCATCCTTCCCGGGAATCTCTCCCATGCAGTCTGTTCTAGCCCTCTTGGGGTTCCGAACTCCAGTTCCATTCCCGGAATCCTTTCCATGGCCTAAACCCAGGCCTCACATCGACCAACTACCTCACCTGCAACCATGGTCTGTTCCCTGCCCCACTTGTCTATCACTTTCTCCAATCATGCCACACTCTCGGCAAACAACACTGATAAATCTAAGCAACTAACCAACCCTGGATACTTGCTGTTTCACCGGAGAATTTTCCAATTCTCCCCACTTAGTGTACCAACTACTAACTTTCGCTGACAAACCGGCGTAACTCGATCGACCTTACTTGATAAAGTTCCCCCTCTTTTCCCGGAACTAAATCCCTCCGGGGTGAGCAATCTCCGCAGAACACTCTCCTGACATCGCACATCCCGAACTCCAAGGAAGTTCGAATCCCAACTGAACACTTCTTGCATCGCAGTCGCTATTCCTAGCAACGAGATCGTATATCCAATCTTCCGATCACCTATCCTCTTGGATGCTAACCGACTACAACCCCTAACTACTAAGATCCTCAATCATACCATGATTCATGCGAAAAAGGCGAACAAATTTACAATACCACATCATCAACAAGATAACAAGATATCAAAATGGAAACATACCCGCAGCTGCATTCGGCTCTGCCCTGACCTCCTCTTCTGTAAGCTGGAAAGCGCGTCCCTGAGCCCTCGGAGGCTCCGCTCCTCCCTGACCTCCACCTATAATCCTCAGAGTGGCCGATGCTGGATCCTGCACCGATGCAGCAGCAAACTGTGGGCAGTTGGCCCTCAAGTGTCCAACCTGATGGCAGTGATAACAAATCCTCATATCCTATACCGGGGGTTGACTGACGGCAATCCCTCGCATAATGCCCCTCTCTCCCACACTTGCGGCATGCACCACCGGACCTACAAACTCCGGTATGACCCTTCCCACACTTCTCACAAGTGTGGCTGCTCTGACCCCCAATCCTGGAGTCAACGGTTTTGAACCGTTTCGGCGCCGGCTGCGACTGCACCAGGGCCTACCTCTGCTCTCGCAACTGCAACTCAATCTCCAACTCACGCCGCCTGGCTGCCTCCTGCGACTCTAACAAGGTATTACATCTCTGCGTCGACACAAACTTTCTAATATCCCTCTTGAGCATACTCAGATACCGGTACATCTGAGCCTGCTCCGACGCGAACTCCGGCCAAAACATCGCCCTCTCAGTGAACATCCTGGTGATCTCCGTCACCGACTCCGAATTCTGTTTCAGCTCCAAGAACTCCTGAGCCAACCTCTCTCTCTCTCTCTCTACCCGCGGAACATAACGAGTACTGAACATCTCTCGGAACTGATCCCAAGTAACCGCAGCCCGCTGCGCATCAGAATAAGATCCCGTAGTCAACCTCCACCAATCCTTCTCCCCGAGCCTCAAAAGGTTCAGAGCACACCTCACCCTCTGATCCGCAGGGCATGAAAAACGTGAACAAACAACCCTCAACGTCTGACAACCATCTCATAGCAACGATCAGATCCTGAACTCCATCGAAAGTAGGGGGCTTCGTATTATCGAAGTCCCGATACTGAAAACCTCAACCGGTTCCTCCCCCTGCCGCTGCTACAGCCACTGTAGCTGTCGCGGCAGCCGTCTACGCAAGAGCTGCATAGCGCTCATCAAAGTACTCAACCATGGCGGTCTTGATCGACCCAAACATCTCTGGCAACTCAGCCCTGAACATGGCAGCAACCTCATCATGCAGGATCTCGCGAATCCTGGCATCCAACTCATCTGTACTCATCTGACCAATGACCTCGGGTGGTACTGGTCCATCCTGACCACCCTCTCCTGATCCCGATCCCGAACCGGATCCTGCCCCGAAACGTCTCGTAATCGTCATACTGCAATACACCAACAAGACCCTTAGACACATCATATACCCGCCCGGGGAACTATCTCATAACTGATACCCTAGAGAGTTGTGACTTCCTTGATACGCGTATGGGTCCTATGCCTTCAGTAGTACAGGCCCATACTACCTTCCACACCTACCCATATTTGTCTCAAGTATCACCATAATACTCTAACCATATACACACACACGGCGAGCGCTCAATCCTCACTCCTAGAGGAAAGCTGAATATCTCATATAAGGAAAACCCTAGGCTAGTAGGCATCACATAATCAGGCAATTCTATCATGCAATTCCTTAAATTCCCTAGCCTAGTACTAGCATGTTGTACTAACATATCACATAATCAATAACTTGTATGGTATTTTGGGGTCTACTTACTGGCTCCGGCTGATCGTACCCTCTGCGTCCTCCTTTACTTATTTTGAAAACCTTTTGAAAACTATTTTCAAAAATCTCTCCTTGATTTGAGACTGGATTCACACGAATGTTCCTCCAATTCACTCAAACCAAGACTCTGATACCAACTTGTAACACCCATAAAAATTGAGCCAAATTAAAACATTTAAATTCATTCAAAAACCATTAAGTTCATACATCTCGTTTTCAAAAATAGTTTAAACATCAGAGTATCCCCCAGAACCATATCACATAAATCCTAAAACATGATGAGCGGTACGATCACTCCTTCGCCTTGCCACGATCTCCTGGAGTACCTAAAACAATACACTAAATTGTAAGCCCGAAAGCTTAGTGAGTTACCCCTAGAATACCAACCACACATAAACATACTCATAACATATCACAAGTAGAACAGCCATGCACATCGGGCCTACTGTGTGACTGGTCCGCCCACACCGGGCCTTTAGTCCACCTGGTCCACCCTCCAAGTCTAGCCATGTACATCGAGTCTACAGTGTGATTGGTCCCCTCGCATCGGGCCTTCAATCCACCTGGTCCACTCTCTGAGTCTACAGTATGACTGGTCCGCCCACACCGGGCCTTCAGTCGGCCTGGTCCACTCTCCGAGCCTCGGCACGTCTCGTCCGCCCTCTTGGGGCCTTCAGCCTATCCGGACCGCTCGCTGGGCCTTCGGGATATCCGGTCCGCCCTGGGTATGTTGGCCTACAGCACAAAGCAGGACCCGCCTCAACCCAACCCCCGTCAAACAACCATCTGCACATAAACAATTAATCGCATAACAAATCCTTAACCAGACAAAAAATCTAACAGATCACATAACATATCAACATCCTAACCAGGATTCTGACCTAACCGGTCACTAGCATAAGATTACCCTATATACCGGGTACCGACCTTAACCAGGTCACTAACATAAGATTACCCTAAATACCGGGATGCAGATCTAGCAAAGCAATAACACAACAAACAATACCCGAATTTCCATCCGATAAAGGGCCGGCCTTGGTGCCGTAGACCATGTTGATATAGTGAGGATAACTCACCTGTAATTGCCGACTGAAGAGATACGACCAAGCTGCTCCGACCACCGACACGAACTTCACCACATCACACTACCAAAGAACCAATACCAAAATTACCAAAATACCCTTGGAAGTCAAACTGGTCAACTCTTTGTCAAAGTCAAAGTCCTCAGTCAAAGTCAACCTTCCTGGTTGACTCTACTCGCCGACTCAACCCGTCGACTCGTCGAGTTCTTATACTCAGAAAACTCCCATAACACGACTCAACTCGTCGAGTCGCTCCAAGACTCATCGAGTTCAACAATCTCGGAATCCCATCCTGTCCAACTCACTGAGTTGCCAACCGACTCACTAATCCAAAGTTTTAACCAAAAGAGGTTGGGTTCTGCGACCAGACTCGCCGAGTCTAAGAACAGACTCGCCGAGTCTAAGAACAGACTCGCCGAGTCCGAGGCAATCTTCAACAGACTCGCCGAGTTGTTCTTCCAACTCGCCGAGTCCATGCACATGTTCATACAACTCGTCGAGTACACCCATGTGACTCGCCGAGTCTCTTCAGTTCTCAATCCATACAGAGGCTTTTCGAGCCATGCAGGGGCTCCAATCCATAGATCCACTCTTCTACAGCCTAACCCTCACATAAAGTTGCAAACTTTACGTGAAACCAAGGAGATATAAGCCCAAAACACTCTAGGGCTAGGGTTTATGACAAAGGGGCTTCACCAATAACTCTTAGACAGGAGCTTTATGACATTATGGACCATCACAAGCCTAGATCTGAAGTAGCAACCTCACATCTAAGCCTCTAACTCGAAATAGCTCACAATCATACCAAAAATGCCCCAAATCTCAAATGATAATAGATCTAGATACAAAAGAGCCCAAGCAACAGATTAATACCTCCAATATATGCTCCAATTGAAGTAGATCCCGGATCTACACCACTCCTTTGCAGCAAGTCTCTTGATCTTCAAGCCCCTTTCCAAGATTTTCTCCTCCAAGGCTCTATTCTCTCTATTAATGGAGACTCACTCGAATGTAGGGTTTCCTGGAACTCTCTGGGGGAATAGGAGGCTGGGAGAAGGACATAAAGTCCTTTAAATAGGGTGCAACCCTCGGGATTAGGGTTTTCTCATTCCAGCACCAACTCGTCAAGCACGTCTTCCGACTCGGCGAGTTGGCCACTTAACCCGCGATCAATCCCGCTCCGACTTGACGAGTAGCACACCTACTCGTCAAGTAGCTTCCATAATTTACACTTAGCACCCTCCAACTTCTTGCTTCCGAACTTGGGATGTTACAAATAACTTTGGAGTATGTGCGAGAGGGGAGACGTATAATGATGAACAAGAGTCAAACGACTACAACATATTGTAAGAGATCTTAGAGGTTGAGTATTATAGTAGCGGGCCCTCGACTATTGTTTTGTTTAATTATATTTGGTTTGATAATAAAGATGGTGTAATAGTCAACAAAAAGAAGTTGATTGATGTCAAAACCAACTCTCGACTTCAAACTGACGACCCATTTTGTTTAGCATCACAAGCAGAACAAGTCTTTTATACACCATACCCTTACATGGCAAATGAGATGAAAGATAAGTGGGCGGTTATCAAAACAAAACCAAGAGGGGTATTTGAAGTCACCGAAGCTGAAACGGAAGCAGAAGAAATCTTTCAGGGTGAAGAACGGTTTGAGTCACCTGTTACTGTAACTCGTGCAGAACGGTTGTGCCTAGCCTCAACTATAAATACATATGAGAAAATATCTGATGACGAGAATGAGGGATCTAGGGAGGAAGACGAAGAAGAGGAAGGTTCTGAAGACGAAGATTATGAAAACGAGTTGTTTTATTCAGAAGAAGAATTTGAAGATGAAGATGATGGGGGACGAATATTAGGAGCATTATCTTTTGTTTATGTTAGGAGCATTGTATTTGTTGATGTTAGGAGCATTGTCTTTTTTAACCTTATAATGAAACATTGTTTTTGTAATGAGTTTGGTATGGACATCTCGTTGTTTTAAGCATTTGTTTTGTCTGGACTTATGAATCTTATATTATATATCTGACCATTCTTGTTCTATTAAATGCAGCATGTCGGGTAATGGACAGAATGATAAAGGCCGGAAGAACAACCCTTCTTCTGGCAGTACGGGGCGTAGGGGGAGGGTATCCCCTAATTCTACTGACGAGCCACGTCATACGACGTTGCTCACACCGATCGACATGCCTATGATCACTGGAGTCGCAGGCTCCAATAGTCAAGGTGTCATTGCTCCGCAAACCAACATGGCTGATCATCTAGCAGACTTAGTCGGGGTTATGCGCCAGGCTCAACAGATGGGCTATGTGTCCCAGCCCCAACCCCAACCCCAACAGATGAGCCATCGATTACACCCCTCACAGATAGGCTATTGGCCCCGACCTCCACTTACACAGACAGGCTATGGGTTCCAGCCCTCACCCCCACCCCCGCCCCCACCCCTCCACCCACAAAGGGGTTGTCGGACCTCACCTACAGTTTTGAGAACCCATGGTGGTGATGGGTTTCAGGATTATTTTTTTGAGGGTGGAGGCATAGAGATGTCGACGCCAGATACACCGGTCATGCCACACACACCACTGACGCCACATGGCTCCGCCTCCAGAGATATTCCGGGCGATCATGGCTCGAATGCTGGTGATTTTGATGACTCATCGTTGCCCGTTATCCACAAATAAGGGGATAAGTTAGTGTTTTCATCTTTTAAATATTTAATTTTTGATGTTGTAATTACACTTATATAATTTTTTTTTGTAGGTTTGGTGATCATTCTGTCCACAACGCGGTTATGGATCTCTTTTGGCAGAGTATGGAGGATGTGTGGCCTACATATAAGAGCATCACGGAAAAGACTCGTAAACAGATGTTTGCACGTTTTAGGGTAGTATATTAAATATTTATTATTGTATCTTAAACTCATTTCTTTTTACTTTCTATTTTAAGTATACTTTTTATTTTTTTATAGACAAAATATAGGTGGTACACACCGGAGAATGAGGCGATATATACAGCATTCAATAATGTCCTCAAGGAAAGATATAGGGACCGGATGAATGATTTGAGGAAGTTATCTGCCAGAATGGCACGACGTGATGGGTTACCACTTAAAAAAGATTTTTCTAAATACTTTCAAGAGATGTATCAATACCGTCCCCATATGGTACCAGAGTCTGTGTGGCCACGCTTGTGTGATGTAAGAGATACAATATATTATTGTTTTATTTTGTTGATTTTTATTAGTTATTATATTATTAAATATATATTTCTTTTAACAGCATTGGAGCACAGAGAAATGGCAAAAGTCGTCAGATGCTGCTCAGACGAACCGGAACACCCCTGATTCCAATGGGAAGACATCAAGGCATACGGCTGGTAGCATAGGATATGCCGAGCACCGTCGTAGATTGGTTGGTATCATAATTGTAAAATTTATTATTCTTGTTTTTTTAACACTGACTGCATCAATTATACTTTGTCTTTTATGTAGAAAGCACAGCTGGGTAAAGATCCCGAATTTTGTGATCTATACGTGAAGACACATGGCACCAGTGAGTCGAAGAAAAGATATTTCGAGGGCGAACGTGAAAATATAGAATATTGCTCTGAAACAGCCAAAGATGCAAAAGTACATTATTTTTTTATATTGACTGTCTCAATTTTTTTATATCTAGAGGGGTTAGTGATGAAATATGGAGAAGACCCGGCAAACCATAGGCACGATGCGGAGGTATGGGTTGAAAGCCAAATTTGGAGAACAGGAGGAAAAAAGAAGGTTCATATCTATGGTATAGGAGCATCGGATGCCAATTTTGTGGTTTCTGGGATAACATCTTCCGAATCTACTCGGTCCACCCAATCCAACAACAACACACAAAAAGAGGTATGTTGTTATTATGGATAAAATTGATTAAAAACAAAAGTACATTGTTATTATGGTTAAAAAGTTAGGTGGTTTGTTGTGCTTATGGATTACATTGATAATAAACAAAAGTACATTGTTATTATGGTTTACAAGTTAAGTAGTATTTTGTTATTATGGATACAATTGATTAAAAACAAAAGTACATTGCTATTTTTTTATAATAAATTCAATTACATTGTTATTATCATTTTTTAGGTTGATAGGTTACGTGAAGAAGTTTCTAACATGCGACAATTCCAAGAACAAATGGTACAACAAATGGAAAGGATGGCGAGGATGATGAATGGTACAACAAATCAAGCCAATGATCCCCCTCATACTCCACCTCATACTCCACCCGAGGATGGTGTATAAGTTATGCATGTTGGTATTTGGAATGAATGTTTGTTAATTTTTAGTTGGTATGAATGTTGTGACAATGGAACAAATGAATGTGTCCACTTATTTTGCAAACTTGGTGTATTTGGAACACTTTTTGTGTATTTTGAAACCTTAATTGTAGTGCTATTATGTTTGTGTTTACTTATCTTGCATATTTGACAAAAAAAAAACTGGAAATATTTTATATTTAAATTTAATAATTAAATAAAATGACTATTACCGACGGAATACCGACGGAAATGTCGTCGGTAAGCACGCCCGTCGGTAAATAAGTCCATACCAGTCAAAAGAGAATTCCGTAGGTAATCCGTCACAATTCTGTCGGTATTTTTTTCCGTAGGTACTCCGTCAGTACTATATTCTGTAGGTATTCCGTCGCAATTTCGTCGCAAATGACTTCCGTCGGTAATCTGTAGGTAAGTGTCCGTCGTCGATATTCCGTCGCAATTCCGTCGCAATTTCTCGCCGTAGGTATTCCGTCGGTAATTTACCTACGGAATATGGCCGTCGGAATTCCGTAGGAAATCCGTCGGAATTTCGTCGCTAAGAATTACCCACGAGCAATTATGCTACGGCACCCATTTCGTCACAATTCCGTAGGTAAACCCGTATACCTACGGAACACCTACGGATCTTGCTGTAGGTATTTTCGTTTTTTCTAGTTGTGTAGATATCTGATATGAGGCCTAGACTTATTTTTGGAGATGGGACCAGGCGTTAAAGGGATTAGGGAAAAAATTTACAAACGTAAAGTTCGGGCTGTATCTGTAAATCATGAATGCATAATCTTTATGACTTGGTTTCTAGAACTAGATGGATGATTAGTGGGTGTGTCATATCGGGGAGTAGGCATATTTACGGGGACTTCAGGTGGAATGACATTTTTTAATGCATGAATTACTCCTTCTATGGTTAATCTCTTACTTGGATCAGGGTGTGTACATGACAACCCTACAGTCATCAAACAATTGTATTGTTTCTCATTAACGTCCTGCGATAGCCTCTTGTCAACTGTTAAAAGAAGTTGCTTCTGTCCGTATAAATGCCAAACCCATTTAACTAAATCCATGTCAGAGACTTGGTTCTCCACACTTCTCCCACTCCCAATTTCCAGTGCAGTGACACCAAAGCTAAACATATCTGTTGCCTTGTTAGCTTTACGTGAAGTGACATACTCGGGTGCGCAGTACCCCAAGGTTCCTGCCAGTTTAGTAGTTTTTGAACCTTGCTCATTGCTGTCCTTTAGTCGAGCTAAACCAAAATCTCCAAGCTTCGGATTGAACTCTGAGTCTAACATCACGTTGCTCGGTTTGATATCTCTGTGAATAACATATTTTTCACCTTGCTCCTCATGCAGGTGATGTAATGCAGATGCCAAACCCTGAGCTATTTTATATCGATTGGACCAACCAAGAGGGTTTTTATTGCCAAAGAGATAAGTATCAAGACTACCATTTGGCATAATTTCGTATATAAGCAAGAACTTACCCTGCTCTTCGCACCAACCTACAAGTTCCACCAAATTTGGGTGTTTCAGTTTGCCTATGGTTGCCACCTCAGCCGCACACTCATTTTCTCCTTGTGTAGAATCTTCTGAGATCTTCTTAACCGCAACCTCGTGGAGAAGTGGAATTGGAAGACGTCCCTATTATCATCGGAGAAGCCGTTTGTGGCCAAAAGCAGATCAGAGTAAGAATATTTCAATGGTGCCGACCTTCCTTCACTTTCAATATCAGCACTACTGGATGTTTTGATCAACTTATTTTTCTCTTGTGTCGATTTCTTGGTTCTTCTTCCTTTACCTTTGATCCAACAACCCTTCTTGAAAAGAATGAACACCGGAATACCGATTATCGTGGCTATGACCATACCTATGATCACACCTATGGCACCAGGAACTAAGTAACCAGCTGTCGATATACCTGATCTCTCTTCCGGGTTTCGCCATTTACCATTTAAGCTTGAATCGAACTCCCAATATAAAAGTGTATTTTTCTCTTTAAGGTTGCCAGTGCCAGCGGAAAAGCCTATGGTCACCCATTCAGTGAGAACCTCCTTAAGGTCAACATGATATGAAACGCTTGAAGTTTCTGGAGTAGGATTATTGTAGGTCCAAGATACTATCATCATCATTGTTTGAGCACTATAAGAGATTGTAACGTCAGCAACATCTCCGCTGTGATTACCAGCACTCCAAGCGGTGGTGTTAGCTGAAAAGATGGAATTCTTGTTTATCCCAACATGCTCATACAGAGGATCCCAATCAGTGTCAACAAAACTGTCGAACTCGACATGAAACATGTGATTTTCGGACGACTCTCTATAATTAGATAAGTTATAAAGACCAAGAAAGGAACCAGCAGAGTTGGGTGGGATTTGGAAATCCGCGGGGCCAAGAAAGAATGCAAACCCGTCTCCATAGTTGAGTTGATCGTTGGTGTCAATGGTGAAGGAGAAACGCGTAGTGAAATCTGAGACTTTCCCTGAGCTGGAATCCCACATTTGAACTCTATCAGCATAGATGGCCTGGCCTACTTGGCACACATAGTTCACAGGGTTCAATTGTACGGCTCCAGAAGAAGGCGCAGCACTTCCTCTATATAGGATTTCGTTATTGTTTGAAGTAAAACTTGAGATTTTGAAATAAACGGAGCTAGCAAAGGGTGTAAAAGTAAGATAGAACATGTTGCTATAGAAGAAAGTAATAAGAACATGCATCAGCTGGCCCATTGACGTTGTCTAGAAGCTAGACTACATTACAGATTCATGTACTAAGCTAGAAAGCAGCAAGCATGTCTTGTTTTATACAAAATTCTTGCCGATCATGTAAATTTGATTTGATGCTTATTTACGTTTATGAGCTGGCATGGTGAGACGAACAATGAAGGATTACAAGAATACTTTGTAGAATATAGGTTTCTCAGAGTTTGTCTGATATAAGATGAAATAATTAATACTATTTTATAGTGAAAGTAACATCATTATTAGAATGTTCTTTAGTTTGGCAAGTGATTGTCACGAGATAGAGATGTGAAATTTAAAAAGAAACTAACAGAGCATGTATGCTGGTGGAAACATGTACTTTACAAATTTACCAAATTTTAATTTACAGGTGCAAATAGACTACCAATCATAAAAAGTGAAACATCACAAAATTATAGTCCAAAATTTTGGATTTTAAACCATTGAATAATAAGACCATAAGTTATCAATTCATTCCATCAAAACATGAGTCACAGTATTCCAAAACATTATTATTAGAGTTTCATATCAAAATATCAGAGTAAAACATCTCAGGCTAAAACGTCTTGGTGTGTGCAATGTAGTCATCCCGAGCTCTTCTCTTTGCTACTGGAAGTACCTGAAACCAAAGCTGAAAACCGTAAACACGAAGCTTAGTGAGTTCCCCAACCTACCACATACCATACACATAACCACATACTGGGCCCCCGCCCCTACCACGGGCCCCGCCCGGCATCGGACAAAGTCCGGCATCAGGCCCCACCTAGCATCAGGTCCCACCTGGCATCGAGCCCCGCTCGGTATACAAATTGGTTTCTCTTAGGCCCCGCCTGTCTATGGGCCCCTCGCCCGCTATACATACAAGCACATAAACATACTAGTTTATAAGCAATCCTACTCTAAATGTATTTCCTATCCTAAGGCCTCACCTGTCATGGGCCCCGTCCATGTCCTACTACTGATGAGTCATGGAACCCCGTCCACACTCACTGCTGGAGTGAGATACGGTACCACGGCCCCCACCCCCGCCCACACTCACTTTTCTCCTATATCGGGTCCCACCCCTGCTCTGCTAATGATGAGTATAGAACCCGTGTCCATACTCAGCTAGTGAGAGATACGGACCTCGCCCACACTCACCTCCTTACCAGCCATACAAGTATCACACAGACAACAAGTATAATCTAACAGGCAAACATTCCTCGGGCACCGCCCGACATAGGACCTTGGTCCGGAATAACATACATATAAACCTTCCTTGGGCACCGCCCGACATCGGACCTTGATCTGGAATGACATACTATCATACAATGCCTAGGGCTAACCCCCGAGTTTTCCTACCATATATAAACAAAATGGGACGACATTGTACCAGTAGACCTGCTGATAACCCTCTGCCTGCTAACTGGCAATTCCCGAACTGCTAATCTTTCGGCTCCCCGAGCTATCAATACCAAAATAACACTTAGTCCAAAATGCCCTCAAAATTCAAACTAGGTCATCCTTGGGTCAAAGTCAAAATCAACGGTCAAAGTCAAAGTCAAAGTCAACGCTTCGATTTGACTCAACTCGTCGAGTTCCCATGCTACTCAGAATCGTGATAAACCGATTCAACTCGTGGAGTCTTCCTCAGACTCGTCGACTCCTGCCCTTTACAGAATCCGGGCAAACCAATCCAACTTGTCGAGTTCCTCTCTGAACTCGTCGAGTTCTTCAGTCTGTTAAGCCCTTCTTAATGGATTAAGCCACAACTCTTCAGACCTAAGCTCTATACTTCGAAATCAGACTGGAAATGCCACTAGAAGGGTAGAGTTTCCAACCTTACCCATTTATACCTCTCCTAAAGGGATTAAGCTCAAACCCTAACCCAAAAAGGTCAAGGTCTTAATCCAAACTTCATCAAAACTGCAAGATAACTCATGGGGTTGAAGATCTGAACTCTAGAGGTAAGAAAATATTGTAAAGCTTCAAGCTTTATCCACATGCATAGTCCCCTTTTAGCTAAAAAAGGCCAAAATAAAGGCTTACAGATTGCATGGGACTTCTATGGCCATAAAGTTGGCACCTTTATGCCATGAGAGTCCCTCTAGGCACTAGATCTGAAGTGTTCTTCACTTGGGAAATCCAAATCCCAAGAGTCATCTCATTTAGACCAAAAACCACATAAAGATGCTAAGATAGAGATCTAATCAACTACTAGTCAAGTTTGAGACTTGATTACCAGAAAGTGATGGAAATGAAGTGGTGTTTCTGGATCTACTAGCTCCTCTTCGTTCCTAGCTTCCAATTCTTCAAGAGGTGCACTCACAACACACCTTTAGGCTCACAAACACTCAAAAATAGGGTTAGGTCACTTAGGGTTTTCTTCTGGACGTGAAAGAGTAGTAAGGAGGCTAAGGAGACATGCTTAATGTTCCTTAAATAGGGTGCAAACACTAAAAATTGGGGTTTCCTTACACAGCGCCAACTCGTCGAGTTGGGTCATCCAACTCGTCGAGTTGGGTCATCCAACTCGTCGAGTAGGTCCTAAATGCCACACGAGTTTGTTATTCTCTACACGACGATTTGGAGCCACCAAATCGTCGAGTAGGTCTCATTATTTGCATAAAAATCCCTATAATTTCACTTCTGGAAATCGAGATGTTACAACTCTCATCCACTTATCTCAGACTTCGTCCTCGAAGTCCGCTACAGTCACCTACCCCGCAAACATCTCGCAATAATCCTATACGATGCATGACCTTGTCTGCTCGGTCCAATTCTCGAAAGGACCGCTTCACTTGGTCTTCCGTCCTACCTTCCTGAGCGAAATGTTACTCCTTGGTGGAACACTCCAATCACTATAAACCCTGAGTACATTGCTCTCACCACAGCCGACAATCCTGCCTGTACTCCCCGAGTACTTATACTTGGCATCCTAAGGGGTACACCCATTACCCTGCGCAGTCTATGGCCTTCCCAAGGCAACTATACATAAGCGACAAAACTCTCTTTTATCTCTATAAAGAATAAATCCTCTGCCGTAACTGAAATCCCAGCCACTCCCAGTGTCGGTCATTTTGCCATCACCCACTGAATGATTCCACTTACTATGTCCAGATGCTGAACAGCCAACTCAACGTGTGATCAGATAATCCTTCGAGTTAAAGATTCACCCCTGCAACGGTTGGACTCATACAAGATATGCGCAACAGAGTCAAATCATTACTCTGAGATAATTTAACCCCGCTGTGAGTGACTTAGAACCTCTCGGTCAACTAGCTGCTTCACACTCCGCTAGGAGAT